GTATACGCCATGTAAAAAATAAACCAGCAAGTGCGAGCGGGCGATGGAGGAAGGAGGTTTACGGTCCGTTCGTTGCTGCTACTTGAGCCCTTGCCTGCTGCTTGCTTCGTAGTGGCAAAGAGTTTCCAACAGAATGGTTTGCTATCCACCGACTCGAGCTGTATTTGCCACAGCTTCCAAGGATCTGGGTATCCTTGCGGAGTTTTCACTCCTCGTTCTCCACCTTTTTCTCCTCCGTCATCATCCTCATCCTCATCATCATCATCATCATCATCATCGTCATCGTCGTCTGCATTCTACTTTCAGCTCGTTTGTGCCAGTTTTGCTCGTTTACAGGCTTTTACCTGAAACTATTACCAGCACGCCGAGTCAGTGGGTCGATGCCTCAGCCCTCATCTGTTCGTTGGAGTGTCCTTCAGCCGCAATCAAGTGTCGACTGCCACTGCAACTCTGCAGCGAGCAGCTGCAGCTGCATCTGCAGATAGTTGCTCAGCTGATTACATATTTATTCGCAATTTATGCATAATTTTACAACGGTTCAGCTCATTCTGGCTGTACCCCGAAACGCTTTAATCAGCAGCTCAGTCTCGAGTGTTCTTCAGAACGAGCAACAATCGAAGGCATGCCAAAAGCCGGGCGCAAAGTAATCCATCAACTCACATCACCCGAACCCGAACCCGACCCCGACACGGACCCAGACCCAGACCACCAGCCTCAATGCCCTAGTGTATAAAACTGTCAAGAACTAACACAGAACATACCTACCCCCCATATACCCCGAATATAACCCTGCGAAACACTTTGCCATCCGATACACACAATGTTAAAGTTTCATTTCAAGCGCCCCCAAAGAACTATCCGGGGGCAGAGCAAAAAAGATGATGAATCTTTTGTTGTTTCCCGACTCCGAAAGCCACTAAAAATGTTAACTAAAATACGGGAATATATATGGGCCCAGACAAAAGGGAAAGTGCTTTCCCCCCATGCAGCATGTAGCGAAGATGAAATGTGCTCCACATACATGGCTCCAGCAATATTCTTGTTGAGCAAAAAAAAAAACAAAAAAAATGATGATGGAAATGTGGAGCAGCTGAAAACGGGGGTGGGGCAAGCAGGCGAGGCAGCTAGGGAAACGAGCAGGAGAGCCACAGAGCCGCATTGACAAGCAAAAAATAGTGCTGGCTCCGTCCTGGAGCTGAGCATAAAACTAACAAGAAAATTCCAAGAATGCATTCCATTCAGGGCGTAACGAATCGTGTAACTGTGCTCTCACTCTAGATATTTTGCTTCTCATTTCCTTTAAAATTATGATTACGAGTGCGAGTGCAAGTGCGAGTATTATGCGGAACTGTCGAAACTGCTGGCATAAGAATTGACAGAGGGAAATGGCTCTCATGCTATGTAGTTAGAGAAACAAGCACGAAATTTTTAATGGAAAACTAAATGTGCCTGCATGAGCTGCTGTAGAATTTAAATGTTACTCAAAATTAAACACGCAGCTGCCAAATTTGTAAATTATAAATTATAAGCCATTGTTAAAGTGAACTTACTAAATGATAAATGATAAGTAGATAAATGATCTACAGTTGCCAAACTGCTGTGAAGGTAGAGATATTTGCTAGTTATATAATTTATCTACACACACATAACAACGAATATTTTCACGAATTAGTTTTCAAACAGCACGCTTGGTTTTCCCCACATTAATTTGTATTCGTATTGAAAGCGCTGCGAGTATAAGCAGCTTGCCAGATAATATGACTCTCCCAGGTGATTGTCCTTTTAGTTTGTGACGGACACGGGCTGTCCTAATGCTACCTCCGCCACATCCACTCGATGGCGGCACACTCACTGAATTAATGCCTCAACGCCCCAACAGACAAGGCAACAGAGGAAGCAAAAACTGTACCACATGTCAATGTCAACGGCGATGACAAAGACAAATTCACCTAGCTGCATGGACAGGGGGAGGGGTAGGGAGAGGTGGATACACGAGTAGTATCCTTGAGTTTGCATGGCCAGTGCCATTGCCATTAAAATTTAAATTAGCAAATAGTCGTTTTGGGTTCTTTGGTTTCTTTAAGCGAATTTTCGTAAATTTCAAATTATTTTGTCGAATTTAATGCGCCGTTAGACGCTGGCTCCGAGCATGGGGACCCACATACAAAGCCTACTAAATGGCGCCAAATTCCGTTCGGCAATCAACTAAATTCAAAGCAAATTGTCCGCACAATAGTCACCAAGGCAGGCCAAGGCAAAGACCGGCCCAGAGACCAGACCAGAATGGCTGCCATGCCATCATGATTGTCCTCGAGAGGGGCAGGGGGGCCGGGCAGGTCCAAAAGCCTCATTATTTTGCGCTCGAGAAATTTCTGTCTCGTCACTAATTCATCATTGTTTCGGCACATTAAATCCTTGAACGTCAACGCATTCATTATCTCATCGCATGTGAGTAGGTCGGGTCGGGCAGTGGCAGTGGCAGGGTCTGGATGGACGGGGCTGGGCTGGGCCTGGCCAAAGGGAGCTGGAGGATAGAAAATGCTTTTGGCCAACTCATCGCTCGCCTCACATGGTCAGCTGTCTGTCGTCGGCCGTCGCCAAGGCATGCTTGAGTGATATTAACTGACCGACAATCAGTCAAGGGCAACTGAAGCGGCGGCGACGGCGACGGCGACGACAGCATCAGCCAAGACATAAGAAGCCGGAACAAGCCCACACGAGTTGGCTGTGAGAGAGGCTTAGGCCAGATTTTGTGGGAAGAACATTCTTGCGGCCGGACTGGGGCTGGTGCTGAAGCTGCTGACCCTGAATAGCCCTCGTCATGTGGCCAGAAATCCTTTATAATTTCCCCTCTCAGAGCACTCCACCACCCTTGGGCATGTGTGTGTGTATGTGCTTAGCCTCTTAATTGCTTTCCAAGCTAATCGAATTTTTTGCCCGTCATTATGAGTAATGTGTCTGGGAGATGCGCCGCCCGCCACATGAAGCAATTTGTCGAGAAGATTGCGCCGAGTGGCAAATTGCTTAAAGCTCGACGCAATTGAAACTAGTCGGACAGATCCCCAGATAATAATAAACAAAAAAACGTAACCATTTAATATTCCACTACACATAAAAAAACCAACAAACCGAACATACTCGTAATCGCACATGTCATCTGGTCTTTATAGTATTTCCCTTGCAAAACAAAACATCATTAAAATTGGCGGAAAACGCGAACAAAAAACCGTTTACAGGTTGCAGATTAAATGTGGAAAATATAACAACAAACAAACCGAACTATGAAAACATTTTAAATGGCGATAGTCAAATGCTCTTGCAGTTTGATTTTGCAGTGTTATATTTTAGTAAATATTTTTTTATATTTAGTTCTCAAAATATAATAATGGAAACATCGAAAGAATTTATAGTACTGGGAAAATATTTTATAAAAGGTGATTTGCCATTGTATGCACTGCTGCAATTATAAAAATTTCTCTACATCTAAACATAGCATCATTTCCGCTTGAATCCCTCACTTTCGCTTTGTTCAATGCGCCAAAGGACAGTTACTAATGCCAACATTGTCAGCAGATTAGTCATCGTTTGCTCATTCCCTGGGGGGCAACCGCCGTCGCATAGCTGCCATGCCGCACTCCGCGTGTCAATAACTATTGAGGGGGGAAGGGGGTCTGATGGCGCCACCAAAAAAAAGTCATATTACAGCGCTAATTTATGTAGCACATAAGTTAATTTCTGTTTGTCTGTTATTTGTTGTAATTAGTCGTCGTTCAAGCCGTTGTCCCAGGGGCCATTAAAACTCGAACCCAAGCCCAGTGCCCATTCCAGTCCCCGCCGGAAACACAGCGCACATAAACAAACGAAAAACTGTTGCTTCCGCTAGCTGCGTGCAAAAAAAAAAAAGGACAGACGAATGATAGTGGCCCGTGTGCGAGATGGCCGTAGTCAGGGCTAATTATTTTGTCGGTCAGCCAAAGTTCATAGTTCACATGCCACAACAGCAGCAGCCACAGCGCACAGCAGCCTGGATGAGAGAGAGGGAGAGATAGAGACTGTACCACCCACTGGCCTTGGTCGCAATACCGTTATTCCGTTTTTCCGTCCGTTTTGTATAATTTTTTATTATCAGGCCAAGTAAAATAAACTTAATTAATACCCTCGTGGTGCGACGGGTCCGGCCTTTGATTCATGGCCTGCATTTGCGACTGCGGCTTAAATGCAATAATGAATGTGGCGGAGCGGCATAAATTTAAAAAAAATATCAAAAGAATGGTCCAGAAGCCGTCCTTTTCGTAAAAGGAGTGTAAGCGCGTAAGCATGGAGGGCTTCTTTGAGCCGGGTCAGCACTCAAAGTCAATGAATTAATGTGGGTAACCTTTTTGTGCACGCTCCCTTCTGCTGTGGAGGGTGTGAAGGGTGCCACAGAGTCACTGTTTTTTGGCTACTGTGAATAATGGAGGCGAACAACAGCCACAATATAAAGTCCCAAATAGCATGGAAAGTGGAAAGTGGGAAGGCACAAATATTTTCCAACAAATTCTTCAATATACCTTTTAGATTATTCATAGGTATGGGCTAAGAATCAAATGCACAAAAATTTTGAAATAAATTTACCAAAAATAAGAGACCGTGATTATTAAATTAAAGTTTTATTCCCGCTTAGGCATTAAAATGTAGTGAAAATGGCAAGAAATATGAATGTAATTAAAATCACAAATTTAATCAAATATGAACATCTTTTTTTAGCAATTTTTCTATGTTGTTCATGGCGGACTTAAAACATTTTTTTTATAAAAACTTGGTTTATTGAAAATCTCAAGCAGCATTACCATCAAATATCAAATTACAAATATCCCTGCAATTGTAATCTGTTCTTCACGCGAGTGTCAATGCTGCACTCCAACCCTGATTCAATCCCAGCATCAGCCCGCACTTATCAACAGCTTTCTGAATAATACCAATAAATACCAATACCATTCTCATCCCCGTTGTCGTTACAGGTTGCCTGCCCGCGGAGGGACTGCACCTGTCCAGCCTCTCCGTTCCGCGCATTATCGATGTGGCGCAGAAGGCGAAGCTTTTCTGCAGCTACGAAATGGGAAATCGGACGCTGAACTCCGTCAAATGGTACAAGGATGGGCTGGAGTTTTTCAGGTGAGCACCGACTGCTGGGGCCGTAAAACAAATAAAAATGGCCCCATAAAAATATTTTCAACGGTATTCAGTTTGAAATAATAAAATGTCACAAATGCTGGAAAGGGATTCCGGCTGGGAATATGTACTGGGGGAGCCGGTGCCGGCGCATTCATGCAGATTTTATGGCGTAAATTGAAAACGTCATGAAACTGCAACAGTGTCCGCCACATAGTGTGGCCCTCACAGACGCTTGAAAGTGTCGCAACTAATTTAAATGCTTAATTGAAATGGATTTTTATGGGCGCCTGCAATTGCGGCCAGGTGACGACGCTGCCCCCGTTCCGGGTGCTAGGATGCCAGCGTTCCGGGTCCAAATATGTGCGAAAGAGCTTTTTATTTAACTGGCTTAATTGTTGCACATTGCCGCATACCCGGCCACAGCCAAGACCAAAAATGGAACACGGTTCCATGTTCCATCCGCCGCGTAATCGAGCGCAAAATTTTTAACAGGCGCTTGGGCTTTTGGGTATTACCTTTTGTTTTTTATGTGTTCCGTTTTTTGGTTATTGATTTTAAAGACTCAAACAAATATGCCGACGACAAGAAAATGCAAAAAATTATTATTTATGCCAGATAACAGAACCATTTAACGGTTTACGGGCTTTACGGCCAAATGGACTGTCACGCCCCCCTCACAGGCACGCCCCTTTGCGACATTGTTGCATGTAAAATTCAACGCGTTTGGCGACCACATTCGATTGGCATTCCCAGCTCCAAATTATTGTTTTTGACATATCTGCTGTGTGTGTGTGTGGGAGAGTCTTTTAGGCGTTGTTGGAGTTCGGGGCTGTCTCCTCAGTAATTTACTGCCGGAGGCAGTTGGCTTTTATCAATTACGCTTTTGTGTGAACGTTTTGATTGTGCGGTCGGCCCTCGGCTTCAATTATTTATGTGCATTTGACACTGCGGTTGCTTCCATTGCCCGAGTACCACTGTACTGAAAAAACATCACAGATGATACACACACACACACACACACACATTTGGATTGCAATTTTGAATTTAGTGTGGTTCGTTTCGCTCAGGCTGTTCTCGGTGTTAAATTGACTGTTAGCCAACAACTAATCGACCCGTCAATGCATTTCGCATTCAACATTCAAGAAATGAACAACAATCAAAGTTAATTTTGACTGTGACAATATCTGTGGTTTTGCAACACGAATGGAGAAAGTTGGTTAAACTTTTCAGCTGGATGCTTGGCATGTCACTGCGATGCTCTAACTATGCCAGTATTTGCCACAAAGGAAATGGCTTAAACTAGTGACACCAACAACAAAATGACTGGCCAATCAGAGCACTATCCTCGTAATATCTTTCACACACATCCTTTGGTTCACCCTTTTAATTAAATTCAATTAAAATAAAAATGGTTTAGTGTGCATTTGCTGGCATTAACTACTGCAAAAGAAAGGCCAATGCAGTGCAAAAATGTCATATAAATATTAAAATAAAAAGTATATACAATATTTACTAGAAATGTAAAATTGTAAAAGCATTGTATCATCTCATTCACATTTTATTAAGCTGCTAACGAACACTCTTAATGGGGACTATAATTAAATGGTATACGAACACCTACATACATAGACACTGCATTGAGTACCCCCAACTCTACTTTATTTGCCTGCTCACTCGATCAATATTTAAATATTCCAGACACAAGACTATTCGATTTCCCTTCCGAACCGCTCAATGCGCTCAATGGCACATTTGCAATTCGTAACTCTGGAAAAATGGAAAACGATTTTCCCCAAACGCCACGCTAATTGCTGTAATCAAATGCAACATTCGCACACATACATACGTATACTATATATTCGAATGGATGTACAATATATAGAACGCTCAGTTGCCAATTTGAATTGAATTTGAATTTTATTTGTATGTTGAAGTGGGTGAGCGGGCAACAGGGAGGAGGACAGGCAGTGGATCGGCGGCCACAAATTGAAGTGGCGCGCACAACTGGATGGAAACTGCATAATATTCATAATAAAAATCGACAGCGTTTCCCGAACGTTGCGGCAACTTTGACGCAAATGCAGAAACGGAAACCAAAAACTTCGCTTCGCTTCGGCGGATTTTTTTTTCTGCATGATTCCCTCCCTCATCAATATTTCATGGATTCATTTTTGGCGCAGCACTCGAGCTCAAGCTGCCTCTAACTCTCCCTCTCTCTCTCTCTCTCTCTCACTCTCTGTTTTTGTCTTTGCAGATATTCGCCGCTAACACCGCCGACAACAAATTGGTTCCCCGTGAAAGGTGTCACCATTGCCGAAGGTTCGTCGCATTGCAATCAATTCATCTGCAACGTGGAGCTGGAGAAGCTCAACATCCACTCGTCCGGACAGTACCGATGCGAGGTGTCCGGCGATGCGCCCGAGTTCAAGCTGATCGATCAGACGGCCAATATGACAGTCGGTGGTAGGTACAACCCCCCACCCCTACCACTCAATCCTGGTCCTGCCAGTTAACCCATACACAGTGGATCAAAATTATTTGAAAATGTGATAATTTTCAAAGTATCCCACTTTGAGTATTTATAGCCCCTACAATATTTATATTTACATATGTCTGTGCATAATAGATTGAATCACAAAAATACAGTGGCTAATGTGCCTACAAATATCGGGGTATTATGGCACATGACCTTTGCTCCACTGTGAACTTGCGATAAATTTTATTTCTGTCTTTGATTTATGTTTTGCAACACAAAGACAACAAATTATGTGCAATTTTGCAAACACTTAATAAAATTATAAATGGTCTTTGCATGGCCACCGACCCCGGGCCAGCCAGGCAGACAAGCAGACAGCCAGCCAGCCAGCCAGCCAGCCAGCCAGCCAGCAAACTCCTTTCCATTTATCAATGCCACACAGTCGAGTGTTTCGGGTGGATTGTGTGGTGGAGGTGAGGAGGTGCCACGGGTCTGCGACCTGGGGCAGTAGGCAGTTCAAAAGGGCGTCGCATAAATGCTGGAAAATTGTGACACGCGTCAGCCATTTGTATGAGTAATGATTGTTAATAAATCCTGACAACCATCCGTGGCGCCACCCCTCCCACCGCCCACTGCTCCCCCTCCACCAATCCACCATTCGTCCCGTTGCGGCACCTGCCGCACCAGTGAACAAATTCAACTCAATTGTGAGTTTTGTACGAATCAATTTATAATCTACAATGCGCGGTCGTTTGGCGTTGTCACGTGCTGGGCCTAGACAACAGAAACTGTAGCAGCGGCAGCAGCAGCAGCAGTTACAAAAATAGGAAGCAAAATCTGGCTTCGGGCACCGAAGCTTTGCATATCCTTACACATATGTGTATGGAACCTATAAGATATAATAGTTTGGTTTCTCTCTTATCATTTAATTGAGGTATGCCCGATTCCTGGGGGAACAGTTTAAAAATATGGTGCCTTTATATCTACCAATAATGTATACTTTATCTGATAGGAATGTGAAAATAATCCTGATCTTAAATGGATGGATCGTACATCCATCAGTCGATCCATCGGCTTAGTTATGCCTTTATCTTGTATTATATTTAATATTGGCGTTCGTCTATTTTTTTATTTAAAATTTTCTCTGCATTTTCGGTCTTTTGGTAAAATCATAATAGCCTCCGGCAGGGTATCAAAACGATACCCAACTCGCTTGTGGCACTTGTAGTGGGGTTTGTTAACGTCAACGCCATCGCTGGTGGATCCACCGCTGCCACCGCAGGCAACGCATTGCCCACCATTTTGATTTCGCTTTGATTGGCAGCGTACATGACGATGATTCTTCAGCATCCAGCACCCAGCATCCAGCACCCCTCACCCTGCACTGGTGTTTCGACGCTCCACTTCACTCCGCGCCTCTGCTTCCCGCCCAAAGCTGTGGTTGATTGCGGCCAGGAGGAGCCTCGCAGTCAGCCATGGAACAGGGCTCTACTTTGAAATTCAAATCAATTGATTTCGCCCCAATGTCATTTGAGGCAAATGGAAATGGCCTGCTTATGTCTTTTGTTTCTAGTTTCTATGCGGCTCGAAATGATTTATTTGTCGCAATTTTGCCGCTCAGCGATTTGTTTCCCCTCATTTGGTTGTTGCCAGAACGAGATACTGGCGGCCGAGTTGAATCTGAGTCTGGCTCTGGGTCTGGGCTGGATGCCTGGATGGGTATGCTCCCAAATGGGTGGCGGCCCGGCCACAGCGCCCTTCGATTATGCAATAGAGGTTGGCCTAGGCGTAGGGCTTTTGGCTTGGGTGGAGCTTTATTTATTGACGTTACTTTAAGAGATATTGATTTGCATAATGCGCACTTAGGCATTTGTTTACGCGTAACAATCAAATTTGAATTCGCATTTTCGTATTTGTATTCGGTCTTTAATTGGATGTTTGGCTGAGGGGTGTTTTGCCCCCTGTCCCACCAGCCGCTCCCATCCGCTCCATTCGCTCCTTTCGTCCTGTTTGTCTGTCTGCTATTTGCATGTCAATTTGACTTTTATCTATTCAACGTACTTAAATAGACAAAGTAAGCCATGCTCAAGTTGTAGCACTTGTACATGGAAATCCCAATGGCTAGATTAAGTGCGAGAGTCTACCAGTCTACAGGATGATGGCCAGGGCGGGCTTAGAGAAACGTGCCGGATATTTCGCCCACCTGAAGTGGCAGCACTGAAAGGTTTCCCGCCCGTCCCGCCACTTTGCCACTTTTCGTTTATTGTTGGCATTTATTTATAGCTCTTTGATTCAAGATGATTTATTGGGAATCGCTAAGTATTGAATTAATTGCACTTATGGAAATGCCAGAACTATTACCAAACTAAATGCAAATAAATGTTGCATACAAATAATCATTATTCCACACATTGACCCTCTTCCCTTCTAAACCAGATTTATTATATTTATATAGTTTAAGTAAAAAAAAAAAGCCAGCGCTTTCACAATAACCAACGAGAGCATCGTATGGCAGAGTGGCTGCAGTTGGCCATTGTATTGTGCGACATGCAGCGAGTGCCTTTGGCATATGCCAGTGGCAGTGGCAGTGGCAAGTGCATTTCGTCATTTTAATTTATATAGTATACGAATACCCATACAACACACATTCTCATGCAACGAATAAGCCATAAAAAAAACCCCCATACCGGGGTCAGAACAAAATAATGCCAACCAGCCATGGCATCAAACTTCATCAACGAGATAGCGTCGAAGTTTAAAGCCCTCGCCAGAACAATGTGTCCGTGTCCAGGGAGGAGGGCGAAGAGAAGGATGCAAGGGAAGTGGACACACGTAGTGCTTACCCAAAGGCATGCCGCTATGTGCAGTGTAGCTGGAGCTGGTGTTGCTTTGTTTTTTTTATTTTTTTTTGTTTCAATGAAGGCGAAGCTGTTGACAGACCAACAATCAACTTGGGAATTTTGTCACTAAAGTGCCATCGCCATCGTAACCACCTTAAAAACTTTGTCACAACAACAGAGGCAGCAGCAGAGGCAGAGCAGAGGCAGTGGCAAAGGCAGCAGAGAGCTCTCGATTTTCAAACAGCCATCACCTTGCACTCTTTGATGATGCCGGAATGGGAGACGAGACCGACCCTGGCTTGAGGTCGCTTTCCAACTTTGCCAGTGCAAATATTTTGTCGCTTAGCTGCGTGCCGTGTGTCATCACACTGATTAACTTTGCCAAGTTTTCCGAGCTCATCTCAGTACGGGGGCGGGATACCATGGACGGGAACCAGAACTGAATGGGCCCAATGCTGCCCATAAAATGGCGACTGAGCCGCACTTAATTACTTCGGAGATTTGCCACATTTTAGGGACAAGCTGGTGAACACTTTTAAGCATTTTGGTACCTCGGCAGTTGTTCGTTTTTCCTGTTCAGCTGTCCACTTTTGGCTTTTTAATGTGGGGGGCTATCGTTTGAGGTTGTGTGCTCGCTCCTACGAACATAAATACACAGGGGCAGCTACCGAGAATAGATCCACCTGGCGAGTCTCAGGCTCCTTCCTGGAGTTGTTGGTTTTCGACTCGTTTAGCATTCCAGTTGGGGTTCCAGCGCACAAAAAAAACTGATTTTACCTTTGTTTTTGGACTGGGTATTCCCTTTCTGGGTTTCTTTTTTTTGTTGTTTCTGGTAGAAGTACGAGGAGCAGCAGTATGTATATATTTTTTCAATCCTGTTGTTGTTTCGTTGTGTTTTACTGGTACTTTGGTACTTTGGCATTTTTGGTTTATTTACCCGAGTTGATTGCTTTGTTTTCGTACAATTTTCATTTCTGGCTGCTGCCTTTGTTGCTGCAATGCAAGTCACACAATTCGAGAGGCCAATGTGGGGTGGGGGTGGTGTTGGTGGTGGTGGTGGCCAAGCACAACATGGCCGCAATCATCAACTTCAACTCCGGATTCCGTCCACTGTCCGTCGTCCGTCGTTCGTCGCCGCCTGTAAGTTGTACTTGAAACAGGTCAGAAACTTTCCACCAAAGTGGTTTGTATTAAGTCAATTAAAAAGTTTATAGTCCTGCTGACTGCCCGACTTTTGATGCCTCCCTCCATCCCCCCTTCCCCACCACCAGTACTGTCTCCCGGCCACAGCTATGCCTTGGGGTCCTTAGCATATTCCACAAATTTTCAACAGCAGCAGCAGTCGGCTGGGGTCGGTCTGCAGCAGCTGGCATTCATTTGCCTGGAATCTGGAACGGGAGCAGAAACAGGAGCTCTCGATTCGCTGTTGTTTCCCACTGTTCTGTGGTCATGGCGAGGCGGGTGGGTGTCCTGACTCTGCTCAAACCCCACGCAAGCCCATAAACTAAATTACGCTTGTTTTCATCAAAAAACTTTATCCGGGCCAATTATTTGTTGAGATTAATTAACACTTCAAATAAATATTTGGTGTTGGCGTGTCGGTAATTGTCTAAGTGCCTGCGCCATACTACTCCCCAAAACTACTGCCATAGAATATCCACTGTATACTGTAACCGCACCCTAAGCTACTGCTGGAAGTAAGTTTGTGCCCGAGTTGCATTCTTCATTTGTAAGCAGAGTTGACCAAAAGTTAAGTTTTGAAAACTGCCAACTAAAATGAAACTTTATGGGCTTTTGGCTTTTTGCAACATTATTTAACTTTAATGCTAAATGAGTATTCCAATTTTCTTGTTAGTCAAAGAAACAATGCCATAAATTCAATTAAATTTTAAATATTTCATTATTTTAATCTGTCAATTAGGGTGAAGTTTAATTGGCATTTGATTCTAGAGCCCGCTCCTTACTGCCATTTATCAAAGGGCTTTTTAATTAAATAGATAGCACAAGGCACAAACCTATGTAACCTTTTACGTCAGAGGCTGGATTAAAACTCCCTCGGCGTCTTTCCCGCCGGGCTGTCTTTGTTGTAAAATCCAAATAATATTTTCTCTGCGTAGCTAAATTTTCCTGTTTCTCCCTTTCAGTCCTACCTAAATTCGATCCGTTCATATCGGGTGTGCGACACGCCTATAAGTATCACGACACTCTGCTGGCCAATTGCAGCTCGGAATGGTCGAGTCCGGCGGCCAAACTCATGTGGTACATCAACAACAAAACGGTGAGTACTATCGACCGGCATGACCCGACCCGAATCGATCAGGACATGCACATTAGATATGGATATGTGACGCTGCATCCACTATACTTATATAGTATTTGGGGTATATCTGTGCAATCGCATGCGACCTCAATTCATATTTGAGGCATGTCAGGCGGCGTGTTTTGACCAAGCCACAGGCCCAGACACATGTCGCATGTCGGCAGCGACCTGCGGGTCATGTGGCGTGTCAGTTTGTCATGGTCATCGAGTCAAGCCGAGACATCAAATGTTGACATAGGACTCTGACCGGAGCCGATTTGCCCGCATGTGGTCCGATTTGGCTTTAAAACTTTCCGTTTCTTTCCGGCCGCAGGCGCCCCAGCACAGCCTGCAGCCACAAATCAACGAGATCACACGCAACGTCGAAGGCTTCCCCCTGTTTCTCAGCAACCTGGAGCTGCGCCTCCATCTGGACGACCAGCGCTTCATCAGCAAAAGCGAGATGCTGGAGTTGCGGTGCGGCGCGGACATCATGGGACTGGCCAGTGCACGTCGCGAAAGTCGCGTGCGGACCACCGTGCTGGCCCTCAAAGATGCCGGCACCAACCAGCGCTTCACCGAGAACGGCTCCTGCATCAGCGGCCGGCCAGGTGAGTGACCCACCTGAGAGAGCAGTAGCAGTACCACCTGCTGTCCCTGCTGTTGTCTAATCTGGTAATTGTTGCAGCTTCACTGGCCGCCTGGCTACTGGGCCTCGTCCAATTGCTGCGATGGCATCGCTCCCAGAGTTAGTGGCTGGCCTTGATGGGCGCCCTCTTTGTGGCCTAAGTTGCTGGGATTTCTACCATATGCAGACAAGGAGGCGACAAATCAATTGGGAAATTGGAAAGCCAAAAGAATAGTTAACAGAACAGCCTAGGCAGCGCAACAGTTGAATGTGTATATAGTCGAAATTGAATTAGTCTAGGACCGTGCAGGAAGCTCATCCATTTCCTATAAGTGTAATGCAACATTTATTTACGTAAATACATACATATGTATACATATGTGTTATGTGCAAGCGAGCAGGCGAAACCCGAAATTGATAAACCGAAAAAAAAAAAAAAACAACACACACTAAACGAGAAATACTCGTATTGAAAATGAAATATAAATGAACGTAAATATAGATATCTAAACGTAAATTTGCTACAATATATATATGTGTATGTATGTATGGTATGTACTCGTATGACAAAATATTTCAATAGAGGAGGAAAAACGAATATCAAACAAATTTACACATGAATATTTCGAGCACAGAATGGAACACACACAATCAATGGCAAGTAAACTTAATTATTGTATGTGAATTGTTAATGTATTAAATGATGTATGTATGATGAATAAATAAACACAAATAAAATGCCAAAAATGCACAGAGCCAAACGATTCGATTGGGTTCGTACTATGTATAAGAAATGTGTAATTTTTACTATTTCAATCACATTTTCAAATTCAAACATTTGGTGGGTATGGGGTATTACAACATAAAAGAAATGAATGCGATTGAAGCTGATCGAAATGCTGGGAAATTCGATTAACGTTGGAAAGCAGAAACTTTATTTGATTTGAGAAATTACTAAAAAATATGGTAGACAAAATATTCCTTTGACATTCGTTCAAGCTTGTTTTATTTTTTCAGCAGTGTGGAATCTGTGTCAGTTTTAGTTGCCCCCTAAATATTCTCAACTATGGCAGTGCTTTCAGACGTAATGAAATCATTCTGTAATAGTTGGAGCATATCGCCTCCATGCGATTACATATCCATAACATTGTTGAGGGCCCATACCACTCCATGCCAAGAACTTTGATGTGTATGGCACTCCTTTAGTGCCTTGCATAAGCGAAAAGCCTAATGCTACTCTCCCCAATTCCCAATCCAAACAGAGACCCTTCCAAGCAGCTTATGCCCCTCATTTCCTCTGCATTCGTATGCCTAACTTATGGCAAACAGATTTGGGCGAGGGCGACGGGCAAAACGGACAAACAAAATGATCAAAATGAAAGGAAAATGCCAGCAACAAAAATTCGATTTTATCATCCCCAAAAAAAATGGTCGGCGGGCAGGAAATGCAGGGAGGGAAAGTAAAACCAAACACTTTACAGGAACTGAAAAATATTCAACGCATTAGGACAAATCCGGCTAAAATATGCAATGGCCAATGGCCGCCGCAGGTAAAAATGACAGTCAACGACATAACAGCAATGGCAACGGCAAAAAAAAAAACACCAACATTGACCAAAAATTATGCAAAAAATTGCTTCGGGCTGAGCAAAACCAACAACAAAATTCGAGCAAACAAAGATAAGTTCCGGCGTCTGTCGTTATGGGGTCGACATCAGCCTCAGCTCTAGATCCGGACCCCTGTCTGGATCCCTATGCCGGGTCCCTGTTCCAGTGCCCGCCCCCGCTCCCGCTGCCACTGTCGATGTGCCGCGGGCCCATTAAATGACGGAAGTAAATAAGCTTGACAAATTTCCACTCATCATTTTTGCATTAATTCTGCCTCCTTTGGCAGGCGACACAGGCACAAAAAATGTCCTTTGATTAATCAAAAAATTTACCACGGCCAGCGGGATGGTAAAACAGACAACAGCAGCAGCAAAAAAAAAAAAGACAAACACAACAAATTGCCAAAGAGGCGCCGGCGGTGCTCTGAGAGAGATTTTGCGGGCGAGGCGCCAACAGAACAACCACCCAAGCCCGTGAAGCACCCGGAGGAGCCGCTTGGTCATGGCAGTAGCTGCAAGACAGGACCGGCTCGCCGCTCTCCGGAACGCACAGATAGAGATGGAAACAAGCGAAGATTTCACAGATTTTTGCACGCGATTTGTCAGCCTGACATTTCCGGCGACATCACCCTGGACGGGAATTGGATTTGAGGTTCTTTTATTTTCATTTCCCTTTCTATTTCTTTTTGTGTTATGGCTGCCACAAGCGTACGTATACTCCGGCCCCCGAACGAGCGACAGTCCAAGTTGATTTAGTAAGTCACGTGGCCACGCAACTGAAAATTGCCTCATCCTGCGGCTCACAGACTGCCGTCCAGGTGTCGCTTCCCTTTCCTGCCTCAACAGCGCGCGAAATAAAGTGTCGCGCTGGCTATGACTGGCTTTTATTTTCCCAGCGTTTCTGATGTTCCCGCTATATTCGTGTTATTTTTCCGCAGGTGTTTTCTTCAACCAAATATTTTTACACCAAAATTTTTCAAAAGAAATACACACTTTTGACCGCAGGCCATGAGTGGAGTGTGGCTGGCAAAACCCTGACATTTTGGGATGATCAAGATAAGAGGAATAATTCGAGTACATGCCCGTACAGTGGAACTTACCTTGGGAGATCATAAGTCATGGTACAATTGAATTATAAAATGTAACACAAAGAGATTGAAGTATGTAAGTGTAAGTACTCCAATTAAATATTCAAGTACAACAGAAACTTGACAATTTTCCCAAATATATATCTAAATATTTTAGCTTTTTGTGGCAGCTCTAGCTTGAAATAGTGAGATATTTTTGAGGCACAATCCATACGTACATTTCAAAACGCCTTCGTAGCTAAGCTCAACTTTAGATACATTTTTTTGTAATTTCGGCAAAGAAAATGTTTTAAATTAAATGAAAACACGTGAGATGAGACCATCTCTGGGCCGGGACCCTTGTAGTTTCAGGCAAATGAAACAAAAGCAAAAACAGCGGCTGAAAAGTGGCTTCTCAGGTGGAACATGTTACCAACCCGGATTGTTTTCATTCCCTCATTCTGTGCCTTAAATTCCCTTCCCTGTTCGTCAATTAAATGCCGTAACAAAGTGTTCGGCGCGTTTAATTTAATTTTCATTTAGTATTACCCCATTTGATTTGAATTAATATTTGTTTTTATTTAACTGGCTTACAATTGGCCCGATCACTGACATCCGCACTCAAACCCCCATCCATGCTAATGGCCAGCGACACTGATTTAAATTAAATATTTGGCCAGTCCGGCCCCGTCACTCTGTCAATACGGTTTCGAATAAACAAAAACTGTCGCTGTTATTCTTTTCCCTGCACTCCCGTTTTTGTTCTTTTGTTCTATACTTTTTGTTTGGTAATTTAAAAAACACCACTCAAACAAAATTGATTTTAAAACACAGAAAGTGAGTGACAGGCCTTTCTAATAACAATTTGAAGTCAATAGTGATGTGATAAGGCACGCAATGACCTGTAAATGTAAAATAGATTTTCTATATTTGATTCTAGAGAATTTTTAAATTTATGTTAACATTTCGAGCTATGTGAGAAACTTTTCTTGAGACTATTTAGGTCTTAGGTTTTAGTTACATTTTAATTTTTAGCAGTTAACAGTTGAAAGACACATCTTGACATATTAAAGGACTTTTTATTGGCTATTATAACTAGTGGAATCTTGTTTATAGATCTCTCCATGGTACATAATTTTCTTTTTCTAAATTTCTTTCCAAATAAATCCTCTACAAGAGGTTTAATTTATCCAAACTCTGCACTCTACCAATCCATCTGAGATTTCTACCAAACCCAATATACTCGCAGTCCCCCGTTTAAAACATCAACAAAATGAAAGAAAAATACTAAATATGCAGAAAAATCAGTCAACCAGCTGACAGAGCTTTGGAAAATCAGTCAAGTCAGTGTCGGCGCTGGGAGTATTCTGGGCGTGTGAGCAGGGCATTGATTTTACATTTTGAGCCGGGACCGTCAGTCAAAGTGTTGCCGGGCCATGACAAGGCACCAGGCACACACTCTTGCCCCGAAACTGGACATGACATGCGTTCAACGCGATGATGGCAATTTAAGCATGCACGGGAACACCCTTTCTCCCCCCTCTATCCCTCCCTGTCCCTCTGCCTCTCACTCTTTCTCTCTGTGTTTCCGCCTCTATTTCTCTCTGTGGATCCCAATCTCTTCCTTTTTTCATTCGCCCTTTCACTTTACATTCCATTGAAATTTTTGCAGCCCTTTTTCGAGGCCCATCTGCTGTTGCGGATGACCGTGTCAACGCGTGTAATTGGACCAAGTTTTAGGCGCTTCTCTATGTTTTGTTGTAATTAAAAGGGCAATCGTGAGAGGTGTGCGCCACGTGACAGAGAATCAGCCCCTTGTCCATTCTTCCACGGACAGTTTTTGGGCGCCTTTAAAGGAACTGCCAAAGGCAGCAGTCGTCTTGTCCGAAGAATTTTGACTGCTGCCAGTTGGATGGGACCCGGAGTGGGCTGGGCTGCCGTATCATTGTCGATTCGCATTGACATATTGTTGCTATCGGTCATCGGGGCTCTTGGGTCCTAGTGACTGTCAAAATGTCGCGTCACGATGCTCGATACGGCGAAAAGGGATTCGAAATTGCTATCCGTCGCATGCCTATGGCCGGTTCTTGTCGCTTGGTCCGTAAAGCCTTTGGCTTTACGCCTGGCATTAAGTGGACTTATAATTAAACGATTTGCTCATTTAATCGCGTCTGTTTATCGGCCGTGGAGCATGGAGGCCAATCCCTTACTGGTCGACATGTCGTAGCATGTTGTGTGTTGTCATTGCCATTAATGTTGTTGCTGGACTGTTTCCGTTGTAATTTCTGCCGCTGGCCATGTCAGTAACCGAAATATGCGTAAGCATAAGCCAACAATTAAAATTATATACTTGATTTATAATTGCGACTATAGATAGTCGATTAAATTAACTGAGAGATCCCACTCCGATATCTACAGGGTACCTTGATTTAATTGTTGGTCACAATATAAAACAGAATCATAAACTTCTTCTGACTTAACGGGTATGATAAATATGTTGATAATTGTATAATACTCGTCTACAACCAATTAACTTGAAATATAGATATAGAAAATACGAATAAAAGGAAAAGTCCCAAGTGTCAGCCGAGCTCGAGTGCTCGACCTCCAAGTACGCGTAATATCCCACATGGGCAACATTTAAGCAATCTGTCATATGCCCGCCAAGATGCTTAACTTTTCGTTCGTTTCGTTCCATTTCGTTTCCGTCCCTTTTTTTTATGACAGGCCCCGACAAGCGAGCGACAACAACAACGGCAGTAACAGCGATAAGAACAGGCAAAATAAATGGGCAACCAGAGGGGCGTGCGAAATGTTGAGAAACCCTACACACACACACACACACAAATATACATACATTTATCGCATATAAGGCCCAGCAAAACCAAACGGCAGGCGATTGTCGTGGAGTTCTAAGTGTGGTCTGGTGGATTGGGATAAGGTGGGGTGGGGTGAGGGTGGTTTAACTCAGGGACGCTGCCGTGTAGTTATAAAAAAAATTTTATCTTAAAGCTTCTGTCAGTTTGCTGTTTGAGGGGGCCCCCTCCAGGTCCTCCTGCTGTCTGCTGATGAAAACGA